TTATTTTACCTCAATTTGTGCTAAAAATGGCGGCCTCGCATCGATGAGTGATGGTCTTTTAACCAAAGCCAAAGGTGGAATTTTAACTCTTTTAGTTTCTAAATTTTCTCTCGCTCTATTAATTCTATCAATTTTTTCTTTTTCAACCCAATTTAAACGATCTTCCCAAATGGGTTCCTCATAAGGATTGTCATATTTTTTTTTAGGTAATTTAGGATAAACTAATAAACCGTTAAAAAACTTGAATTATTAAATGTAACTAATTTAGTTTTACTCGTAATCACTGATAGTAACATAAAATTGTGTAAAAATTTTTTTTAATATCAACCTGGATACGGTATGGGTGGTAAAATTTTTTCTTTAGGTAATATGGGTAAACGATCCATGAGTTCCCTAAGGAAATATGGGAATTCTAAATGACATATTGCATTCATTAATAATTTATCATTCCACGTTGTCATTCTATTTGATGGATTTGGTTTTGGTAATTCGTTAAAAAAATCATCGTCTTTTGTCAATAGACGAAGTTGATTTAAAAATTGTATCGAATTATAATGACTGAACCTGAAAATACAATATAATTTTATAAAAAACCTTAAAATGATAATAATAATAATATTTTAAACGAGAATAAGTATAAACCTTAAACATTTTTTAACAATTATTCTTTTTGGTCTTGGATAAAGACCGAGTCCTCCAAGTATAAAATAAGTTCGATCCGTTATATTTTCATCTAAATCCAATCTTATGGCGGTTGATAAAAATTCAATATAAATTACCTTAAAAAAAAAAACAAAATGATAATAATAATAATTATTATTATTAATTTAAAAGTTAATTAATTACCTGTTGACAAGAAAGTTTTTGAAACCAATCAGGGGCATCTTTACTTTTTGAATCGAATAATTTCATTTGTTCACGTTCTAAAAAGAAAAATTATTATTATTATTAATTATTTTTTAATTAATTAATTAATTAATAATTTGGTTTTTCTGGTTCGATACATAATTTCAAACTATTAACTAACCTTACTTTGACATTTATTTAATTTTTTTTCTTTTCTTCTTTGAGCCATATATGCCGACCATGTTTCACGAGTTATTTTATCATGTTCTCTGGAATATTTTTCCCACCAAAATTCATCATCTTCAACTTTTTTCTTTGTTTTCTTCGGCACGTAACCATAATCGTAATTTGGATTCTGAAAAAAAAAAAAAAAAAAAATTAAATAAAAAGGTTTTTAAGGTTTTCAAAGGTTTTTAGAGGATATTCATTTGAGATATGCTTACGGATTTGGCTCCTTTTGGACATTTGCATATTTTTTTCTTTTGCGGAGCTCTCGTTTTATCTGGAGCACATTTTGGACATTTATTTTCACCTTCCAGTACGCAAACGCAACCTTCAATTTCAACTTCAGGTACTCCGGGCTGAAATAAAAAAAAAATTTTCATTTAACGTTTTTTTTTTTTTTTTTTAAGGTTTTCCACGACATTTTCCTTTTTTTTTTTTTTTTTTCATACCTCGTCGTGAGCATCGTATAATTTTAAATCGGCACCCTCGTGAACCAAATGAATTTTTGTTTTTGTTTCTAATTGGGGTCGTGTATTTTTTTCAGGTGTCACGACCCCGGGGGGTTTACAAAATTTACAATGCATCGATTTATGAGGCCCCTTTCTTTCGCTTGATGTAAATTGTTTTCCTTGCATGGTGACGTAAAAATTTTTCATTTGTAATTTTTTTTTTTTTTTTTTTTAAATTTGATTATTAATTAAAAAAGGCCCTTTTTGTTTTTTGTTTTTTTTTTTTTTTTTTCTTTAAAGAAAAAAATCAGGTTCGAAAAATTTATTTAAATATCGCAAATCAAAAATCATATTAATTAAATCGATTTAATTTAAAAAAAAAAAAAAAATAAAACACTTTTCTTTCTTTTCTTTTTTTTTTTTTTTAAACAAAAAAAGGCAACATTTAATTTTCTTCAATTAATTGTTGAAAAGTTTAAAAAAAAAAAAGTTTTACATTAGTAAAATTTTAAAAAAATTTTATGATGGAAAAAAATTAATAATTTTTTTTTTTTTGTTAAATAAATATTTACATGCGCTTTTTCTAGAAACTAATACACGACAACAACAACAACAAAAAAAAAAAACGAAATCAATAAAATTTTTTTTTTTTTTTAAATTTAAATTTTTTTGTTTAAAAAAAAAAAGAATTTGAAAACATTCTCACATAAGTATTTTAATAATATTTTTAATCGGTAACATTTTAAATATAAATTTTTGACTAAATCAGTCTAAATAAATTAGATAATAATAATAATAATGATGATGAGATGTAAAAATTTACAAAGTAAATTCATAACAATAATGTCGTCATTAAAAAAAAAATTTTATTATTTAAAATAAATAAAATAAATACAATATTTAATAATTTTTTTTTTTTTTTTTTTTTTTTACTTTTGTGTTTTAATTATTATTATTATTATTATTAATATTTAAAAAAGCATTCGCGATTTGACTCTGCTCGGACCTAAAAATGGCGTCTGAAATTTTGGACCTGGCCTAATTTGTCCACCGTTATTATTAACATTATTATTTTGTCCGAAAGTATTTCCATCGACATTTGTTCTTCGAGATTCATCAATTGCTTTTCTATTTGTAAACCAAAATGGATGTTTATCAGCCGGCCATTTTGAAACTCTTTCTAAAAATTCAGGATCTTCGAGAGTACCTTGAAACTAATTTTTTTAAAATTAAATTTAAATTAATTAGTATGAGTTGTTTTGTTTCCCCCCCCCCAAAAAAAAAAAAAAAAAAAAAAAAATCTTACCTTTATCGAGGGTGGTGGTGGTGGAGTTGATAAATTTTCTTCTTCAAAATTTTCATCACCGATTCTTAAATTTAAATTAGGTACGGTCGTAGATGAATTTTCATCATTTATTTTAAACCTGGGTAATAATTTTGATTTTGTACGCGAAGCATAAAATGATCTTTGTGATTTTCCATAATGAATTATCATTATTAAAAATATTATTAATTTCCACTAAAATAAAATGAATACATAAAAAATTATTAAACTCAAATTATACAATTATTAGAAAATTTTTTTTTTTAAATGGAAAATTTAAAGAAAACACATCACACATCACTAAATTTTCTTTTTCACTTATAATTAAAAATTTTTACAAAAAAATAAATAAATAAATTGAATTGGTACTTACCATTTTTGTATAGTCCGCAATTATTATTATTAATTAAAATAAAAATTATTGTTTATGTATAATATGTCCGAATGGGAATAAATAAAAGTCTTTTATGAAAAATCAAAATTAATAAATATATATATTTGCAAAATAAATTTAAAATAAAAACGGTATAAGTCAAATTTTTTATATTGACCTAAATAAATAAATAAAAACCGAACAAAATAAATATTACAAAACAATTTTCCAGTTTTTATAAAAAAATTATTTAAAATTTAAAAAAAAAAAAAAGTTGACACTGAACAAGAGACTATCTGATACCTAATACAGGTTTTCTCAAACTAAAACTTCCAAGACATCAGGTATGCGAATCAAGTTGAAAAAAAAAATTCTATCTTATATATATTCATCACGAAATTATTTCTATATTATTTCTAATTGTTTTAAAAAAAAAAAATGAATTCGTTTATTTATTGATTATTAATTGATTCTATTGATTGATTATTGGTTGGTCTTATTCCACCATAATTAAATAAAATAATATTTAAAAATTTAATCATAAAATGTTTTTTATAAGAGACTATTAAACTATTACGTAATTAAATTTACCTTTAAGTGTTTATTTGTAATTATTATTATTATTATTATGAGTCGCCCAACGTTTCCTTTAAATTTGTTTTCATATTTATTTACAATAACGTTTTAATAATAATAATAATAATAAAGTTAATGGATCATCTTTGAATTTATTATTTAAAAAAATTTCAAATTGTTTTAGGTTTATGTTCAATTTTTTATTTTCTAAATTTTACAAAAATATTTTATTTTATTGAAATTTAAATCAAATTTTTAATTTTTTGTAAGTTATATGATAATTATAAAAAAAAAAAAAAAAATTAGCGGTTAACGTATTGATATTATTATTATTATTTTTGTGAATCATTAAATGGCCTTGCATACGTTAAAGAAAAAAAAAAAAAAAACTATAAACGTATAATTCCAAGAAAAAAAAAAAAACCACATTTATTGATTTTATCTTATATTTAATAATAAATAAATTAATTAAATATTAACGTATTTTTGGTTTTATTATTTAATTAATTTATTTATTTTTTGTTATTTGATTGATTTAATTGTTTTAAAATGAAATGAAAAAAAAAACCCAAAGTATTTTAATAAAATGTCTTCTTTCTCAGTAAGAAAAAAAATAATAATTACACTCAAACTTTTTGTTTTTCGTTTTTCCTTTTTCTTGGAAAATATATATTTACGGTTAAATATTAATTTTTACGAGAAATCAAAGTCCATTTTTAACGATTTTTTGAAAAATCATTTATGTAATTAAAATTAAAAAAAAATTTTTTTTTTTTAGAAATTAGCATAATCACACGTAATTATAAAAAGAACTTGACTTTTTTTTTGGTATATTATATTTATTTACGTTAATGTTCGCATTAATCTTATTAACATAAGAACTTTATTGAACTTTTTACTTTCATTTTTCTTAATGTAATATTATCCAGAATATTGTAATTTTCGTTCGAAAGTAAAATATAATGAATAAATTTAAAAAAAGAAAACTTTATTTTTTTTAAGTAAAATCTTTTCATAAGTTTTCATCTTTTTGAAATTAGATTCGCCCATGTTATAATTTATATAAAATAATGTAATATTATTTGTTTTACTTACCTTCGATTTTCACGATGGATGGTTTTTGCTCTTCAATAAATAAATTTGAAAAAAAATATTTTCTACCTGTAAAGATACTTGATCAATTTTAGTGAAGTGGTACTAGTCAGTCAAACATAGAATAATAGCCCTTCGTAACCCTCTATGACAAAAAGTCGTTATTTTTTGTTTACCTTTTAAGTGGGTGTATCACAAGTTAACGGTTCCTCCTTTCTCGTTATTACTTGTTATGTATATTAAAAGTTATTGTATTATTTTTATAATAATTTTATATATCTAAATGTTACATAATGTCGAGAATAACGTTAGAACCTCAAAAAAATTATTTAGGTTTAAACGGAGTTTTGGAACTCTTTAACAAACTCAACAGCATTAAATATGCTGCTTATCGTACTTCTTCAAAATTAAGAGTTATACAAAAAATTTTGTTTAGTAAGTTTTTGTTATAATTTACAATATATTAAGCTTGTAATGTTTTACAAAACAATTTAAATTTAAGAAAATTTTTTAATATATGATAATATATTTAATTGTTTATAAATGATTGTTTTTTTGATTTAGTGGATCAAGTTTCTTTAAATTTAATTATGGGCGTTTTTGAAAAACATCAGTATACAAAATCTGAGAATTTCTCTTGCATTCAACAAGATGATGCAAAATTAATAATATCAGATATCTACTATGCAGTTCAAAAAATAAAAAATGAAGAAATAAATGTCAATTCATTTTGTAATTTATTAACTTCACTAGTTTTGCATATTTATGATGGGTAGGGTATACTTTTTGTTCATTTTTCTTTATATTTCACTGAATGCCTTTTTATTTTTTTTTTTTTTTTAAAATTTCATTGCAGGGAAGGAAAGAATTCTGTTTCCGTCTTGTCATTAAAAATTTTTCTCACAGTTCTTTGTGGAAGTAGGCCTAAAATGAAATATTTATATTGTTTTCAACAACTGGCAGATGAAAATAATTGTTTGTCAAAAAAAAAACTTGAAGTACTTTTAAAGAGTATAATAAAGGTTTTAGAATATATCGGTGAACAATGTTCCTTTGGATCAGATTTAATTGAAGGAACGATTGAGAGTTGTTTTCAAAACTGCCATAAAGTTAATGATATTACCGAATATGATTTTATCTCATGGTTAATTAAAGATCCTCAATTATTGGTGTGGTTGTCTACATTATACAGAATTCAAATTTCTGAATCTGGTATGTATACAAGGCTGATGAATAAAATTTTTTTATTAATTAAAAATAAAAATAAAATTATCATTTTAGCATCACACCAAATTCAGTGTAAAATTTGCAAAGTTTTTCCAATTATTGGGCTAAGGTACTGCTGCCTAAAATGCTTTTCGTATAATTTGTGTCAAAGTTGCTTTTTTAAAGGAAAATTTAATAAAAATCACAAATCTGATCATCCTGTAAGTTGCATTATTATCAATTTTAAATGACAATCGACAACAAAATAATAATAATAATAAATTTTCCCTTTTTAGATTCAAGAATTCTGTTATCCGATGACAACAAAACAATTTACCAAAACACTTTTATTAACATTAAAAAATACATTTTGTAAAAACAATTTAAAACTTCAATATTTACCTGCTGTTAAATTAAAATCAGTAGAAAATCAACAAAAGCCAAATGATTCATCAGAATCTTTTAATAAGGGTTCAACAATTGATTCCAAAGTTTTAGCAGATGATAGTCAGCTATCGAGTTCAAAATTAAGTACTCAACAGCTTCAGAATATAATTTCAAATTTAAAATTTGAAAATGAAAAATTAATATCTAATGTCAGAGATTTATGTTTGATATTAGAAAGTCACGATTCAAATACAAATGATATTAATTTTCATGATCGCCTGATAAAGAATAAAATTCAAGTAAAATTTATTTTTTTTTTAATGGTAATTAATTTAGATTTTAATTACAAGAGGTTTATATTTTAATATTTATTATTTAGATTGAAAATCAACTTGAACGATTTAAACTGCTTGGAAATTATTTATCTCGTAAAAAAAAAATGGATTCAAAATTTATGATTGCCAGTACTCCGGTTGCTAATAAAAATAAATTAAAAACAAATTACGCCGATTTAAGGAAAGAATTAGGGATATTAAGTCCGATTAAGGATTCTTCTCATTCTTCCCTTTTAAACTCCGATAAAAAAAGTAGGGAAAAAAGTGAAAAAAATCTTTCTTGGGATAATTACGACATCGGTGAGAATTTTTTTTCAATACATTTATTCATCTTTCACATTTACTTTTTTACAAAAATATTACTATTTACTTTCAGTAAATTATTTTAATTATTCAATTTATCGACAAGAAAGCCGAGACGTATCGTCGGATGATTGTTTCGAACAAAATTTGATGAATTTAAATAAAAAAGAAACAAATGAAAAAATTTATTTGGATTCTTGGATTAACGGGGAGACTTCCTGGAATTCCGATGACGGTCACTCACGAAACGGTTTTACTTGGCTTAGACAAGATAATGACAAATCTGAAAACGGTGCGCCTTTACTAAAGTTTTCTAATACCAGATAAATATT